CCTTTTTGAATTTGTGACTAACTGTATAATCAAATTTCTTGCCCTTACTGTTACACTTCCTCTGCCACCAAAATGGTAACTGCTGTACTGCCACTTTTAAAAGTGTTAATTGCAATTAATTCTGAAGTCCTCTGAACAACTTCAGAAGTGTACAGAGAATGGCATCATACATATGAATAACACATCCCACACCCATAACTTTTTTTTTCATGATTAGTAGGTTCTGAGTAAAAAAACTGAACTGTCAATTCGAATTTCAAAAAGGTTCCTATAGTTTATGAAGCCATTTTATTATCAGACCCAGCCCCTTTCCATGACTCTCACAGCTATATTCTCAACAGACCCACATGAGCCTATCAAGACAGGAGCCTTTGCAGAGCAGAGCTCTAGGAAGAAATTCTCCATTCTCTTAGCCTCCCTTATAAACTTAAAATTCCTTAGATAGTCTCCCTTCCCTTGACCTTGCATATTAAAATATGGTGCACAAGCTGGGCTTGCTTTGGATGGACTCAATTCTATAGAAGCAATTCACACTTTTTTATCACACAAAATATTCTTAAACAAATGAACAAATAAAAAAGTTAAAAGCTGGAAACTACATCCAAAAGCAGCAGAAATGCAGGCAAGTCTCTACTAATGGAGCCAGTAACAATGTACCATGCCTGAAGGGAAAAGGACCCTCGTTACCCTTTGCTAATAGACCTTTGCTGAGTCCATTAGCCACCAAAGACACCCTGCAACACATCTTCAACACAAGTTTTGTCTGCCACATCTACCTCTGCCTGCTTAGAGAAACAGCTGCTGGTGCTCCGAGATTGATTTTACCTCCCCATGTCAATCACCAACACCTACAGCAAATCATCAGCACCAGCTACAGCTTTGGCACCTGCAGTCATGTTTGTTGGGTGGGTTTGGTACCAGATTCACCAATGAAAACAGATTTACTGCTGGAATTGCAGCTTCAATCCAGTAACACAAAAGAAAGTACACTCATAGTTCTCCACCTTGTTTTCCCACTTCAGTTACAGGTCTTACACGTATTGGTATCACAGCTTTTCTGCAAGGACAGCACCACAGATTGACAAACAATGGTGTGATGCAGCAGATTCCCCACACAAACCAGCAGAAACATGTTTTGAGCTCCAACAAAGTTTTGAAATCACTGGGCAGGGATTACATAGCTGGAGTATATAGTGACAGCCACTTTCCTGACCACTGATACACTACCTTCTACCCTCCATGGTAGTGAGAAATGTATATGCCAATATATGTTATCCCAAAAGAAAGCAAGGAAGTTATTGTGTAAAATGGGAATGCTGATGAACCTCATAGCCACAGTTCTGCATATTGACCATAAAGAAGAGACCAGTATTTCAGACTGGGCAGCAGAATGAGGAAGGAACACCTTGCCAGAGCTGACAAGAGATCTGCTCTTCCTACACAGCCACAGGTTTCCAGCATGAATTGCCATCTCCAGAAACCTCCTTTAGACTATTATTAAATACCTGCCTTAGTTTTGCAATTCAGCCTGCGCTAAATTCAAGGCCAAGACTATGTCACGTCTAGTCTGCCTCAACCCCCAAGAAGATGGAAGCAGCACCTTTGCCATGTAAGAACTGGCAGGAGAACACAGAAACTCTCAACACAACAGAAACTTGGGATAGCTCCTTAACAGCCCTCAACCAGGAGCTTGTGTTTCCTCCAAATGCTATGTGACGTAAGCAAGGAAAAAAATCACACTTTGCAGAAGTGGACTGTGCAATGAAATCAAGCCTCCCCTCTTTCAGCTTCAGGCCATGTGTAAAGAAGAATTTCACTGCTACAGTGCTCACAAAAAGAGGCACTCGGAGTCAAGAAGAATAAAACCACACAGAGACCTGTCCAGGGCCTGCGCAAAACGCTCATAAACACACCCTTTAAGGCAGGTCTGAAAGGACCAGCAGAACACCAACATCTTCCTTCAGAAAAGCATCGAGTCCCAGAACCAAAAGAATGTTTCCTTAAACTAAAATACTGTGATTCCTAACAATAACTCCAGTTCTGAAAACTCCCTCAGGACTGTGGCCCGGATGCCTTTTGCTGTCATCTTTGTGTAACACACCACCACATGGGACAGCAGTGACATGCCTGCTCCTTTCCCATGGACAGCCTCTTCCCACAAGATCCTAGTCCCCAGAAGAGACAGGAGCATAGGGCACAAAGGAGAGTCTCCATGAAACTGCTGCACTATTTTTAAATGAAAAACAAACTCCAAAATCTTATTTTCCTAGGAAATTCTGCAAAATGTTTTTCAGTACTTTCCCCTCTTAGGTCAGATAGACAGACTTTTCAAATCCAGCATGCCTTGGACTGAATTAAGGTCAGCTAGAAAACGAGTGTGCTAACTTTTTGCCATCACAACTGGGCTTTTATTAAGTTATCAACACCGTGCACACATCCAGCAAGAAGCAATTACTTTTCTGACCACACAGGATAACGCTGGGATCGTGGAGTTCAGCCTGAGGATGGGAACCAGCCTTCTGCTTTTGTCTCGAAATAGCATCATCATCCCAGAACATATTTTAGGGCACACAGGAACATAGTTAGCCACAAGCTTTCTGCTCTGAGCTGCAGAACAGTGAAGGACATGGGACAGAAAGCTAAAGAATCAATAGACCGGATAAAACTATCCTTGATCTGCTGCCATTTGCTAATATTTACAAGAGATGTAGAGTAATTTTGTTTCAGGCTCAGCATAGCCAGTTCATTGCACCTGGAGCTGCTGACAAACACAATTTGTCAGCAGAGCCACATCTGAACAGTTTCATATTAATTCTCCAGTGAGATTTTTATTCTCCAGGCTACCCCTAATAGGATTTTTCCAGACTTTCCCGGATTGTTTGCCTCCAACAACAATCCAGAAAAGACTACCCTGTCTGATACTCTGCACAGTTAAAATTCTCAATTACTCACCACAAAAAAAATTTAACAGCTTCCCCAGAACCAATATTACAAGTGAGACCTCTTTGATCAACTTCCTAAATTCTCCTTTCAGGAGATGAGAAACCAGCAAGTCTCAAACCTACACAGCAGCAAATCCTCTATCTGGATCTGTGCTCCAAGATCTCCCAGTGCCAAGGAAGGCATCACACCACATGCCATGTGTGGGACCATCACATGCTTTCAGACACATCAGCTACCGGTGAAAACTGGCCAGCAAGAGCCAAGAACAGAAGCTTCTCTGAGCTGTTTCTGCACTACACAGAGACACTGCAGGCACACAGAGCTCACTAGGAATACAAATTTAAACCACAACAGGGAAAGAGTTCAGAATGCAGGCACGGCTCTCAGTCAGCCACCATCCCACCCCGGAATCCTTTCAGGAAGCTGGCTAATTCTTCATTAGCTACCCTATACCGTGTCAAATGGCCAAATGGCTACATTCCAAGAGCCACTGACACACACGTCCATTGGAGTGATACTCCATTCAGAGAGCTTGTCAAAGAAAAAGTCATGTTACCATGGAACAGAAATCCCTCAGAAAGAGTGGTGTTTATCTCAGGAGGTAGCAAAGTATATCCTTGGTATGGGCTGACATTCCAGTCTTATCAATGTCTCTGATCTAAACTCTGCTAAGCACTTTGTCTGAAGCTTAGCCTAAAGTGAACAGCTGTTATCATTTAACTCAGCCTTTCCCAGAGTCCTCAAACACCAGTGACCTGTGCCGTTCACATTCCAAATATTCTGGCTATTACCACTGAAATGGTGGAGTCCACACAACTGTCCCTTTCCAGTTTCAGCAGCAGAGACTAGGGTGCAGATAAACCCTATAAACCCGAGTCCTGAAACTCTAGCCTCATGGAAAAGGAGCTTAGCAACACTTTTGTACATGAAAACACTTCTGGCAAATCTATAAGGCATAATAGCCCAAATGTCAAACACCTGGCCTGTCAAACTGAGCAGGAAAACAATAAACAACAATGTTTTGAGTCTTCCATTATAATTTTGTTCCACAAAAGATGGAACATGAGAGATCAGGAAAAAGAAAGCTCATTTGAGAAAACTGCCCAGAAAAGAATGACATCAAGACAACTCTTACCAAAGTAAGTGCCTGAAACTCTTTCCATTGTGGTCAAACTCTGCTGCAGAACAACCCTGAATCAGGAGGACTCCAGCTTGTGCCTCTGCATCCTTGACAATTCACATGTGGGGCAGGGACCAAGGTACAGAAAGATGGCAGTAGGAGGGGTAGGAGGTGGCAGCAGGAGGGGTAGGAGGTGGCTATAGTCAAGCAGGAAGTATGAATCAAATCACAACGACTTGTAGAAGTACTTCTTTTTTTAAAAAACATGGAACACAAGACAAACTGGCCTTACCCTTCACTCAGGCTCACCACAGCAACCTAAAAAATACTCCAAAATTCTTTCTCATGGAGGTCCCAGCAGTATATCACCAAGGGTTAGCATAAATAAAATAATACGGACAAGAAAACACAAAGAAAATCCAAATGCTTGTGACTCTGAATGAACAGGTCTTTCCTTGCAGTGGAACACAGGCCTATTCCCCCTAATTCAGATTTCTGTACATGCTATTTCTGGACAGGATGGCAAGCTCTGGTCATTCAGATATGAGTGATGCCACCTATTGTGGATTACTCAGTCAGCTGAGGACCTTACAGCTGTATTGCTTAACTTCATAACTTCTGCAGCATTATCAAGCAAAAACCATTTTGTGCTCAGGATGTAGTAAAGAGGCATATCTAAAACAATTCAGCAAAAGCAACTGAGTTCTGACAATAATATAATCAAGTCAGTAAGAGCCAAGAAAAAACCCAAGTTTAGCTAAAGTCAGTGGATAATTACACACATCACAAACATTCAAGAAGTTTGGTGTTCTTTCTGTGCCACCTGTCATTGCCACTTGGGCTTGGCAAACAGCAGATGTCCCCAGAGCCCTATGAGAAAAGTCCTTCCTCAGCCCAGTTGCAAAGACATCAAAGGAGAAAACAGGAAGGTTCCTACCTGCTACTTCCACAATGTGGTGCCTGGCGATATCATAGTAGGGATCATCCCACTGCAGGTGAGTGACAGGCTCAGGGGAGCCTTTGGAGTCATCTGAACAAAGTACAAGAAACAAGCAATCAGAAGAAGGGATCTGGAGCACACTGGCAAGTACAGAAAGATAGAGATAGAAGAAAAAATGGCACTTCTACATGGGAGGGACTAATGTATGCAACTATACACCTTGAAAATCCACTTTTGAAATTCTGAGTGGACAAGAGCAGCAATGACTTCAGAAGAGTCCTCTCAGTCCAGTGTGATCCATATGTGTCCCTCAGAATGTACACTCTCTCAAAAAAATGTTCAGATATGTCACAAATATTCACAAACACAAAACCCAAGGACACCATCATGGCTTTTTAGGAAAGGAGGATCTTAACATAGTCCCTTGATGGATGGTCACACTATATATCCTTGAGCTAATTTTCCTGACCTCTCTGCTTCTAGTTCACAGCACAGGATTTCAGAGCAACAACTCAGATCTCCAGCCCCACCTCCCAGATGGAGACCACTTGAGACCACCAGTTTGAGACCATTCCAGTCCAGAAGGCCAAACTCTCCTGCAAGAGACCATAATGAAGCATACTCAAAGATTTACAGCACATCTATTCTGTTGGCACCAAAATGCAGTCAGGCACAGGACTGAGAAGAGATTATTTACAGCAGCTGGCTCTGCACTTTTCAGTGCTGTTCAATACTGAGGCTGATTCACTTGGGTGTGTACAAGTTTAATGTGTCTATAAAGCTTTTAAATGGAGCTGGGGCTCTCTGTATATGTAGATATGACCACAATGCTGCAAGACAAACAACTGCTTTTTGGCCAAAACCCAGATCCCAAACAAGCAGGATACTTACCTGATTTGGGAAAAGCAGGGACTTCATCTGATGGCCAGTTCTTATCATCTATGGAGGTCAGTTTGAGCTGGCTGAGGGACTGGTTGGTATCATCCAAGTTCAGGTCATCCTGAAGCTCCGAGAGTGGGTCTGTAGCCATGGTCCCCAAATACCGCAGCTTATTTCGCTGTGTCTAAAACACAGACTGCAGAGATTGTTAGGTGAGACACAGAGATCACAAATCTACCTCCCTACAGACACACTTCCTCTTCTCACTGATCTTCCCCCAATACTCCCTTATCCTTACTTATCCAGAGACTGTGTCCCCTCCCCCTTAATACAAGCAGAAATTCCTCCTCCTCCTCCTCCTCGCCAGAGGCTCAACATGTCAGATTCTTTCATGGCAATTGCTATCAAAGGCCATCAAGAGCTGTACCAACCCTCTCAAGGAGTCTCTGCTTGCCCAGAGCTCTGGTTCTCTGGGCAGAATAGTTTTTCTCTCCTGAAACAGAAGCAGCACCAGGACTCCGCAGAAGGCGACAGGCTGCACCAGCCCCTGCCTGATACACTCCCTGTATGGCCCTGAGCTCCCCCTCCCTCTGAAGGGCTGGCACAAAGCCCGGCTGTTTCCACAGTTGGCCCAGTGCTGGAAGCTTTCCCAAGAATCACCCCCCCCCCACTTCCCCATAATGGAGAACCAGAGCTCTCAACAACACTGAAGTGGGTGCTTCAGTGTGTTTCGAGCTGAACAGAGAAGTGAGCAGCTCCTTAAAACAGGAATGTTTTAGGCGGAGCTAGTAAAACAGGGAGAATAATACACATACAATCCTCATCTCCTTTCAGCATCACCCAGTAAATCCTTTCTCCTACATAATAGCTAGCAGCAAGGAATCATCTCTTTCATTTAAAGCCATACTGCCTGAATTGAGTATTTTTCACCCAGCATGCAATAAGCAGACCAAAGAATAAAGAGGGTCCAAGAAACAGCTCAGTGCATTTGCTGTTGTTTGCAAATATTTCTCACTCTCATCTGAAGCAGAAGATACATTAAAGCTGGGACTGAGCTAGCACAGCATACAAGACCTCCAAAGATTACCAACTCTTAGGGACAATCCTTGGGAAGCAGCTGCTATCCTCTGAATTCAGTCTCCTGGAAGTGAGCAAGGAAACATTAAAAAGGACAATTAAGTAGATCTGGACTGCTCACACAGACCACGTGCACAGTAATTCAGTGGTCAGCAGGCAGCAAGCCAAGAGGAACTGTAGAAAAATCAAGTGACACCTTGCATCAGCAAGAGTCTCTATAACATTGTTTCACAGTGATGTTTGTGCTTATTTTGCTTTATGAGGAGAGCAAAGGGTTCAAAGATGATCTGAGGAGGCACAACACCTTAGTGTGAAAAGTATATTCACAGTAAAGCTATTTCCTGTAGCAGAATGGAGAGGGGGCAACAATGTTTTGCATCTTCCACCCCTAGAGCTTGAAAACATATATTCATCCAAAGAAAACAATGAAACAGTTACTCAGACTGAGCACAGGGGACAAAACCTGTGAGAGACTGAGCTCTGGAAGGTGTCATGTCCATGGTCAGGTCTATACTTGCCACCAAGCTTGGGGATGCATTTTGAGAGCACGGGAAAATGCATATTCAGTGGTCCTCTTCTCCCTTTGGACCATTCCAAGCTTATTATTTACTTCCTGTCCTCCCTTATCTGCTACTCACCAGTTTACAACCAGTTTTCACCTCTCTGGGGCTTCCAAAGGACTGGAAGCTATTACTAATCAAATGCAATGTTTCCCAAAATATGAAAGATCATGGCATATACAGAGAGCAGGTCATCAAGACAGCACATCAGACACACAGAATGCCACCACTGCAGCCATGCAAAGATCCAAGCAAAATTATTTTCCCTTCCCTCTAACCAGGGATGCCAGAGCTGCCTGACCTCTTCTGATCTCAACAGGGCAAGGAGCAAGAAACCAGGTTCCCTAGCACCGTGAGCTCATGCTGGAACCACGCAGCAGTGGAGCCAAGGGACAGGACTCCCCACTCCCAGCAGCTGATCTGATTTCTATGGTAACAGCAGGCACAGACTCCTATGACTCAGCGTGCTTTAAGCGTTTCCCACAGGAGCTCAGCAGCCCCAAAAGCCAGTGCTTCATGCTGAGGAAGCATCCATGGCTCCCCAGGACAGCCTCTCAGCATTCACAGCGCTCAGGGACTTCCCAGCCCTAGTGGGGACAGAGGACCCACATTTGACTGCTGCCATCCACTGACATGCCTTTCATGGGAGATTCTTGGGGACGCCCAGTAGCAACCACTTCCCCAAAGCCAAGTCCTGAAACACTTGGGGACCAAATCCAAATCCCCCCACAGAGCAGTGATGGTACTGCCACAGGGTCAGCAAGTCACCGCTTGTCCCTACACTCACCACTTGCCTTCACAGTCAACTTGCAGCACTTGTCCAGAGACAACTCTGGGGGATTTCCCTGAGGCATAAAATTCATCTTAGTGTGGCACCATGTGGAAGAAGGAATTTGTTAGCAGGATCCACGCTGCAAAAAGAGCCCAGTGGATAGTGCTCTGGCCTCCTCCCTTGGAAAAACAGACAAGTTTCTCCAGATACCTTCATGCAGTTTTCACAGCCAGCTCCATTCCTTGACTGTAGGTTACTGCTCCATGGTGTTAATGGAAGCAGGATCCAGAGCAGACCTCTTAGATTTCAGATCCTTCTTGTGAACCATACTGTAATACCCAGAGAGCCACAGAAGGTTTTGCAGATTTTTCTCCAGCCCTTTCCCAACATACAAAAGGCAAAAGCACAGGATCTCACATCAGATAACCATAGAGCAGTTTAGGACATGAAATCCTCTGAATGCTTGGGAGCTAGCAGGCTCTGAGAAGGAGAGAACTGGAGTTAGCATGTAAGACACAAATTGAGGATCTTCATGTAAGGATACACATTTCACTTTCCAATAGTGCAGCTGCATGAGATGCTTCCCTGTGTACTCAAAAATGATCCCTAAGGATCTGTCATTAAACAGAAAATCCATATGCACCATGGTGATATAGCTGTTAAAAAGAGTAAAGTGTTTGTTAAAAACATTTCATGTGTTTTAACAATAAAAGAGAATTTCAACAGATTTAATTCAGTTTTAAAACTGCATCTGTTTTACATAAATGTCATGATAAGATGCAAGTGGTACACTCCATATAGCAAATAATCAGAAAAATTACATACCTAGATTTTGAAAAACAAAAATTCTAGCCAAAGATTTAAAACCTAAAGAATCACACATGGCAGCAGAAGCATTTACTTACTGCCAGGCTCTAAAAAGCCAACTGTTACCTTTTTTTTCCAAGTATTTAAGTATGTTTTCTGCAAGTGCACTACACCTGAACACTTGCTGTGTAATAAAAATTAGCTTGTCTACATATAAGGGACATATGATGGAGAACAGCACACTCCACTGAAGGAGAGAACTCAGACCATTAAAATACAATTTTCACACAAATTCTGGAATTCTGAGGGTTCCTTATATAAGATCCAGAATTTACCCAGGGAAGACCATTCACATTATATCCAGGAAATCCTGGTAGCTGCTGTTCAAGAAAACTATTTTTTCCTGCAATTTCAGTTTCACTGTTTTTCTATCACTTATTTCTAAGCTACACCTGCTTGGTAGTTTCCTTTTCCTGTTTCTCTTCCAGATGTACTATTAGTTCAGAAGTGAATTACACTTCAAAATACGTCCATGCATATATTACCACACCCTGGAGCTGTACATACAATAAAGAATTACACAAGCAAAGTGGCCTCTTCTTCCATGCAAGACAAACAAGCAATGGTCAGATGCAACACAGTCCTGGTACTGCGATTATTTTTATGACCCTGCTGCCATCCACACCTCCTCTCCGTCTCAGCCTATTTGCACAGATGTCTCTTTTTCTGTACACATCAATCAAGGCCCTGCATTTTGCTAGTGTTAAAAACAAGCAAGTTGAAAGAAAAGGGAGCAGTTACTCAGCAGCAGACCTTCAGGGTACTCACATGCATGAATGAGGTCCAGAACCAAGACTCACCCACAAAGCCCACCCCTTGCCTTCCCTCACATCAAGACTGATGATACCACCGAGGGCATCTCTATGCTGGTACTACCCTGAAAGAATGTAGAGGTCAAGGGCCAGACCTTGTCCTGGCTCACCATGACCAGTAAACTCAGGACAGACACACCACTACTCAGGGAAGCCCTTTGGTCCTTCATTATTCCAACAGCTTTTTAATTGAGCTGAGCAGCCTTCCTTCTCATCTCAATCCGTTTGCTGAAGGCTACCTCCGTGCCTGCTGGAAATCCACTCTAGCGAGCAGTCAGCTTCCCCCTACTGGTTCTCTGCAGGGTCTGAGGGCAAAAGTGCTGAACTCTCCAAGCGTCCTCTCCGGAGCTGCTGCACGAAGTACAGCAGCTGCTCTCAGTGCCGTGCAGGACCCACCCAGGACTCACATGTGAGGGAGGCAGCGGGGCACACACAGCCCTGCGCGGGCTGCACCCCTCCACCATACAGCTGCTGTCTCCCGTTCCCTTCGACTCATGTCCTAGGAGACCCCTGAGCGACCTCCAGATTGCTTACGAGACTCGCGAACTTACTATTTACACTGTTACAACAAAGGTCCCCTAGTACGCTCCAACTGCCTGAAGGCAGGACAAGCACCAGCCCCCGCTGCTGGGCACCGCGATTAATGGCAGCCAGCCCCAGCGCCAGCCCCGCCGCAGCCGCCGAGGTGGGAGCAGCCAGCAGCAGGCCCGGTGGCGCCGCTCCGGCGGTCCTGCACCGCCTGCCCCGATCAGCGGCGGCCAGGACACCGCGGGCTGCCGGCCCGGCTCTCCCCGCCCAGGTGCCCGCGGCGCTTCACCAGCCGCGCTCTTCCCGCCAGGCGCGCACCGCGGACGAACCGCGCCGCTCCCTCACACAGGGCGAGCCCGGCAACACCCGGGCGGAGCGCTCGGGGCTCCGGGCCCAGCCCCGGCCCGTTCAGCCTCAGCCCCAGCCCTCAGCCCAGCCGCCGGGCCGCTCCCCCGCCCCAGCAGCAAGAGGACAGGCCGCCGGCCCCGCTGCTGCGGGCAGAGCCCGGCCGCGCTCCCCGGGCACCCCTCGCCGCCCCGCCGCTGCCGGTACCTGCCGCCGNNGGGGGATCCCGCCCCGCCCCGCCCGCTGCCGGCCGCCGTCCGGGCGCGTCCGCCGCTTCCTCGCAGCGTTCCGCCGGCACGGAGCGCCTGAGGCCGAGGGGGCGGCTGCGGAGGCGCGGGGGACCCGAGCCAGCCCCGCCGCAGACCCCTCGTAGGTGCGAGCCGAGGCCCAGAGTGGATGGGATGAGCGGCCCGGCCTTCCCGAGCGTCGGGTGTGCGCCCTCCAGCCCTGCGGGACGGTGGTCCGGACCGTGCGTCGCTTTTAGGAGCTGCCAGCCGAGAAAAGAGCGTGTCGCCCTGTTTTATGCCAGTCGTGACAATACGTCCTAGAAATACTAGTCGTGAAA